GGCAGTTTTTCCCCATTTAATATGATGTTAGCTATGGTTTTGTCATACGTGGCTTTTATCAGTTTGTGGTAAGATCTTTCTATACCTATTTTCATCAGAGATTTATCATGAGAGGATGTTAGACTTTTTCAAAGGATTTTTCTACATCTGTTGAGATCATATGATTTTTCATTCTTGATTATATTTATGTGGTGTATTACATTTATTGATTTATGTATGCCAAAGCACCCTTGCATCGCCAAGATGAAACCAACCTGGTCATGCTGTTGTTGAATTATTTGTTCAAGGGTCTTACTGAGGATTTTAGCATCTATGTCCGTCCATCAAGGATATTTGTTTGTAGTTTTTATTTTTGGTTGACTCCTTACCTGGTATTATGGTTTGTGTCTAGATACCCGCCAAAGCTTCATGCACCTTTAAATGGAGATATTTTCAGAGGTAGCTGAATCTAGAGTTTGTGATTGACTCATGATTTAATGCTGAGTTTATGGATGCTGGGATTGAGGATGGGTGATTGTTGGATCAGTCCACTGGTTGCATTAGCACTGCACTAATCCCAGCAGTCTGGATAAAAGGGGAGAAAAAGGCTTCTTTACCCTTTTGCTCTCACTGCTTTTGCTCTCTTTCACCACTATGAAGTGTTGCCCTCTGCCGTGTGACACTGTGCGTGAGAGCCAACCGATTATGGACTGAAACATCTACAAACAGTGAGCTAAATAAACCTTTCCTCATTTCATCTTGGGTGCTGCCTATTTTGTCTCAGCAATGAGAAAAATGTAACTAAGACACTTGGTTTTGGTATCCAGATGGTGCTGGCTCGTAGAATGAATTCGGATACATTACTTAAGAGACTTTAAAGTTCAATTTTTATGTGACTTATTGAAGTTTTCACTTCCAGGATTTCTGCTTGATTCTTTTTCAGAACCTCTCTCCTTATAGAAGTAGACTTTCATATTCTGCATTTTATTCTTTCATTCATCCACCTGCTTATTTGTTTCTTCTTTGAGCTCATCAAGCATTTTAGTAATTGATTCATTCATCTGTTTACATGTCTCTTCTTTGATCTCACTGATCATTTTAACTATCAATTTTCAAAAATTCCTTTCCAGAATTTCTTCCACTTCAGTTTCTGTTGGATCAGCTTTTGGGGTGGTATCTTCTTGTCTTGTATGTTCATGATTATTATACTTTTGTGTTGAAGAGCACAATTTAGATGGAAATTTCTAGCAGTGTTGTGTGGAGATCTTTTTAGTAAATGGCTTCCTGTGATATGCCCTTGACTCTGGGTATGACTCAGCCTATTTAAAGTACTATTTTAACACCATAGCATAGCATTGAAAGAACTACCAGTAATATCAAAGCCCTTAAAACCAGTTGTATATCAACATATAATTTAACACTTGCTTTAAGTTTTCTACTACTGCATTAGCACTGGAAGATAAACGAATAGTAACAATGTAGGTTAGGCTAGGGAAAAAAGTAAAGAAAATATTAAGAAAAAAGAACACTTTTTAGTTATACTACTACTGTTTGTGCTGAGGTCATGGTCTCATAACATTGAAGAATGAAATCATGAGTAAAATGAGGAGGATAGGAGAATTTCATTGGAAATAAGAATAGCTCCAGCATTTTCAGGAAGGGTTTTGAGTGGGTTGGCAACATAGCCCCTTAATGCCAAGCTACCTATAGATCAGCAGAACACAGGAATCATCCAATTGTTTAGTGACCACCTGTTATAGATGGCTCTGTGCATTGACAATGACCAATTAAGATACAAGCTCTTTGACCCAGTTTATTAACATGTAGGGTTTAAAGGAAACTGGAAGTTTAGAGAAAAAGCTGTTTATTTTGCATTTTTACATTCCTTAAAACTCAGGAGCTTAGTAGGGCATGGCTGTAATTCTTTTTAGCAGGGAGCAGGCTGCATTCCGTGTTGCCTGAGGATGTTTATCCTTGGTCCAAAGTCTTAGTTTGCTTTCTATTTTTATTTTAATTCTTATCAGTATGGCTTGTCACCCAACCTCTATCTCAGGCCCTTCTCCTAGCTATGTGCTTTTCTCATAAGCTAACTAAATAAGATATTCTTTATAATAATATTTATATACCAGCAAAAATGGGGAAGAAGGAGAGTTTTGAGAGGTTATGTGAAGGCAGGGGAAAAAAGAAGAGTAGGGAAGGATTATAAATTGAAACTGAGAGAAGATATAGGGAGATTGAATCCAATTGATAAATTAGCAGGAACCCTAAGGAAAAAATGCTTGGTGGGGACCAGCATAAATTGTAAAACAAGGACAGATACTACAGAATAAAGAGGAGTAAGTATAACTCAATACACAGTTACACACGTACATACGCTCTTACACACAGTAAAAAGAGAAAGAAAGAAAAAAGATTTTAATGGTAATATTTACATGCACAAAAAGAAGGGGAGAAAGGGATATTTGAAAAGGTATGATAGTTTAAAGAAAGAAAGAAGAAATGAGAAAAGAATATAAATGGAAAGTGAGAGAAGACATATGAAAAATGAATCCAATTAATGAAGGAACAACACTGCAAATTTAGCAAACCCTATGAAACAACACTTAGTGCAGGAGGATCATGTAGCCACTACAGAAAGACAATCTGTAACTAGCACTCATAAACACTTGTATAAAGCCATATGCTCTCAGGCACATACAAAATGAGACACACACACCCAAAAGTTCCAATTTTGGATTTTGTTTGATAAAAGGGAGGTATATGTGAAAATCTTTTGTTCTTTTTAAATTCTAGAATTTTTCTCTGCCTCTGTCCAACTAGGAGAGCCTCCCTTAGGAAAGGCATGAGGATGAGTTCTACCCTTCTGTCGTTGTGGTTGAGTTGAGTAGATTTGCTTGTGGCAGGACCAGCTCACACCTGCTGACTTAATGTCTTCCATACCTAGGAGTGAGGCAATCAGAAAATCCAAACTGCCTACTAAATCTGTCCTTTACGTAGTCTATGAGTAGCTCTGGAGTGTAAGTCAAAGCTTTGTAAATTTCTGTTCTCCAGATATGCTATGAGGCCTGGCTGGCTGGTAACTGCATGTTGGCTGCAGTAACCCTGAATACCTCTGGCAAGATCGGAAAAGATGAGTATGTAAGGTCTGTGCTTGTATTAGGGATGGCAGGTGCTCAGCCTTCTGATGGCTTCTGCAGAAGGGATGTCCTCAGACTCAGACCCCCGCCACCACAAAATCCATGTAGCTGAACTCCCTGCCTGCTGCGATATTCAAAACACCACCATTTTACACTGTTCATTCAGCCGCCTCTATTATTCCAGCCCAGAATTGTATGCCCTGTGAGCCAGGGACCGAGGTGTTCTCCTGATATTTGTGATTTTAGTTTTACTGTGTTACAGTCACTTTTCTCCTGGGCCCAAACTATTAGAGTGTGTGTCTGATTCCTCTATGTACTTTGGTGTCAGTTATGTCTTGGGATTATAGAAAATCTAGAGATTTTCTGAAAGTAGGCAGAGGGACTTCTGCAGAATGCCTTACAGGCCCTGAATGTACCTCGTCCATCTCCTGCTTGCTCTTCTAAGGCAAAGGGTAGAGGAGCTTCCAAAATGGTTCCCTAGGCTGACCGTGTGCAAGTCACAGATGTATTCTGGAGACATGTAGAGAAGTTTGGAATTATAGATGGAAGAGAAGTTCCATGGAAAAAGTTATGGGAGCATGAGTGTGCCTTGTTCCTAGATTCTACTATGCAAGTATCTTTATGCTTGAGAAAATAAAACACAGCATTTGTAGATAGGTACTTTTGGAAGTGTTTCTTCTGTCTGAGCCACGTATTCTGAAGCACCAATTTTCTGAAGCACCAATTTTCAGTTACAAGGTCATTTTCTGGCTTCTGGCCTATCCAGCCTCCTCCCTAGGGACCTCCTAGCCCTTCCAGGTTACAAAGAAACAGAGGCCATGTTAGGGCCACCCAGCCTCCAAGGCCGAGCAGAGTGCACCTGCTTATGGATCTCAAGACTTGTAATTGCTGTTTTTAAATACTTAATTATTTTCCATTTACTTCTGAATGTTATTTGAAAAGTGAGGCTGCTTATTTTACTATCTTAAAAGATCTGTATTTTCCCTTCTCCCATGTTAGAAATCTATAACATTAGGAAATATTTTTACATTAGCAGAGATTAAATTCTGATGGCTTTATATTTATGTCTCAAAACAAGCAAGACACTGTTAGAAAAACATAACTGCAGTAGAACTTAAAATATATTTATATATAATAATAATAATAATCTCTATCAGTACCTGTATCTATTTCCTAATTTACTTTCTGGGGTTTCATCAATGCGTCTTAAATGTTTATATGGTATACCTCTATAAACCATGTAAAAGAATTTTTCTTAAGGTAATTAAATGAGTTGGGTTATATTAAAGTGTCTCTATACTATATTTACTATAACTGCATAGAAAACAAAATTGCTATTAACATTTCATTGAGATGAACTGTGGCCAAATTTATCTTAACTGTCTGATATTATTTTGTCATTATTTTTATAAGTTAGAATTCTCTGGGTTTCTATTACTGAGTCAACTGGAGTTTTACTCATTTTTACCTAGAAGGACAAAGACTCACAGTTGAGAGACTGGGTTTTGATTTGGTTGCTGCTATCCAATGGCAGAATGCCTTGGGATATCCACTTACAGTAGTGAATATAAGTAGTGCTATCATATTTACTATATTTAAACACTCATAGTTGGCAGGAATGTGCTAAAGTCTGAATATAACATGGTAAATTATGTCAGTGTCCCTGCCCAAGGCAACTGCAACTGAAAGGACATTCTCAGAAGATGAGGGAGGAGACAGAAAGTCATTTGGAGCTAAGCGTTTCTTGGCTGCTGACACCCAGAAAGAGCTTTAGGATGTTGCCTATGTTTTCTAAAGAGCAGCTGGCAGTTTTCATCTTGTATATGAACCTTCCGTATGAGATTTTTATTACAATTTTGTGCTTATTATTATATCTCTTTTTAGTTTTCCTCACAGGAGAAAAGGCCAATTCAGTATTAAAACGCTATCCAAGAGCTAATACGCTTCTTGAAGAAATCAGACAGGGCAATATTGAACGTGAATGCAAAGAAGAAGTGTGCACATTCGAAGAAGCCAGAGAAGCTTTTGAAAACAATGAAAAAACTGTGAGTATACTGGTAGTTTAAAAAATTCTCACACATCTGCCTACCTTTTTTCTTGTATATTTGAAATCTGCATCCCCAAAGTGTGTGCATTGCTGTCAGTTAAAAGTTACTTTTGTGAAGAATTCTGAAAGCAGCATCTAACTAGTATCTCTGCATGGGAGAGCTGGTTCACTCTTTGAGGGCTGATATGTCTTTGAGAGCCGTGTTTCCGTAGATTCTGCTGAGCCAAGATTTACCACCTTGCAAGGAGAAACATTTAGTTCACATGAGGCTGTGATGTGGAAAGTGAGTAGTGTCCTGACTTTACAATGGCCAGTCGGAGAAGAAGAGCGAAGGAGGCTAATGGAAATGGGCAATGTTCTTACACGTTTTATTTCTTCCATAAAAGAACAAACACATCTAGTCCTACCTCCCTACTCCATGCAGTTACTCCTCTTTACCTCTGTCCTCTAGGTTACAGCAAAAGAGCAGAGATGGGAAAACATAAAGCAGGCATTTAAATTCCATAAATTTGCCCCATACTTGGAAATTGCATCCAGAAGTATCCATTGTATAAAGATCCAGTCCTATGCACCATGAAATAACACGAGATTCTAAGCAAATGATGTCCAATGTATGCTTCAGACGACCCTTCAAGAGCAACAGATGCAGAAGAGTTCTAAAGGAAGGGGTTTTGGTCTTTTATTAGGTACAGAATACAGCATGGGTAACACAAAGGAGCTGAAGGGAAGACGCTCAAAGAAACATGATTGCTACATTCCGGTGTGCACAACAAAAGCGAAATCAGTTTATAAATTGATAAGCTGTGTGCTTACTCAGCTCTGCAGATTCATGGGGAGTTATTGTTGTGTGTATTGTAAGTTAGGGGTCTGATTTTTCCACACGACTATCCAGTTGTCCAAACATCATTTAATAGAAAACCTCTCTTCCCCCTAGTGATTTTAGTTATCTTTCATTAGGTGTCTGAATTCTCTATGTGCTTTGCCTGTTTCTGGACATTCTAGTTTAATGAACTGGGCCATGTTTCTGCTGAAATGCTAGAACTACACTGTTTTAATTATAGTGGATATTTAGTAGTTTTACTGTAAATTATAATGACTTCTCTCAGATACGATCTTTCTTCAGTGGCTTGTGAGCTATTTTTGCATATAAATTTTAGTATTAACTCATGTAGCTCCAAAAATAATAATTTTGGGGTACATTTGTTGGGAATTTTTTTTCAGTTTGTAGCCTTTCCTAAAAAAACCTACTCTTCCCAAATAGCCTTTCTGGTCTCAGTATGTAGTGACTTTGTCCGTCCGTCTGGTTGCTGACCTCTAAACCTAACTGCCACTCGTGATTCTTGCCTCTTTTTTATATCCCACATCCCACCTGCAAGGAGTTGGTTCTATGAAGTCTCATTTCAGCCTTTTTTGTTATTACTACTTTACATCTAAGTCATCCCTATCCTCTCATCCATATTTCTTGGTTTCTCTTCCCATCACTCATTCTCAGAGCATGTGAGAGTATAAAATTTCCATAACTATATTCTCAGATATAATGACACTATAAAATCTCTTCACATCCAGGTGTAGTAACGCACACTTGTCATTCCAGCACTCTGGAGAGCTGAGGCAGGAGGAGCGTGTGTTTGACCCCAGCCTAGGGACCTTAGTGATTAAGTGAGACATTGTCTCAAAAGGAAAAAAAAATAAAATGGTCTGAGAATGTAGCTCAGTATGACGGCCCTGGATTTAATTCCTAGTACCACAAAACAAAAGAAAAAGAAAAAACACAGGAAACATCTCTTCTAAACAACACTTTCCTTCTTCAGCAAAAGCCAAAATGCTCAGAAGTACCTACAAGAAAACATGCAATCATCTCCACCCCATATTTCCACTTCTCTACAGTTGTTTTCTTCTTCTTCTTTTATTATTATTTTTTTTTGAGGTAGGATCTCATTATATAGTTCAGACTGGCCTTGGACTCATTCTCTAGTCCAGGCTAGCCTGCAACTTGTTGCCTTCACCATCCTCCTGCCTCGCTCAGCCTCCTGAGAGCTGAGATTGTAGGCATGCACCACCATGCCCGGATGCAGTTATATCTTTCCCACATCTCCTATGACATTCAATCCCTTATCGCTTTTCAGGAGCTTTCTCGTGCCTCCTCGCACACGTACAGCAGCACATGCCCTGCCTTGATGGCTTCCGTACTTCCTCTTTCCTCTTCGCGATGAAAATGTCTGAGCTCGCTGATAACTCCCAGTTCTTTGTTCTAGTCCACTTTCTCAGTGAGGAAGTATCCTGTCTGAAATTGCCAACTTGAGTCCTTTCCATGAATTATTTTTCTTCCCAGCACTTATCACCATTTGACATCCATTTGTTGTATTTGTTAATTGCTGTCTGCCCAGGACTGTTAGCTCTATTGCAGCAGCATTTTTGTCTCTTTGTTTATAGTTATGGTCCCTAGCAATGCTGGCACGTAATAGGGGCTACATAAATATTTGATGAAGGAGTGAACTAATGGGTTGGCATATAGCAAAATACATTTAATGCATAGGAAGAGTGATTTAAAACTTACTCACAAGTTGGCTGATAGATATGGACTTGAAAATGGATTTTATTATGTCAGTGTTATATTTGTTACTTTCTTTAAAAGTTTGTCATCCAACTTTGCTTATGCCATTAAAACTGAACCATTTACACTAAGGTGTGTTTGACAGCTTTTGATCTAAATGTAATAAAATTGGCACTCTGATCCTTGCTTTAGAATAAGTATTTCAAATTAATGTTCATTACATGCCAAGAAGGATCTAGCATTGAGCAACACAGTTTCATCGAAATCTCGGCAGTGAAGAAAATGTTTGAGATTTGAATTTTACTTTTTACTCTTAGACTTACTAAATTTTTTGTTTACTAAGTTTTATCATTCAGAACAGGTTTACTCTCACATATTTTCTTCATTTTAAAATGTGGCCTATGGAAATTTAGAAGCCTGTTCTCAGGAGAATATTTATATGTAATGCTTTAGCTAATTTGGAATACAAATATAATGATACAATAGGAAAAATGTGTTTCTCTGCTTAATATTCTTCATTTTAACCTGGGGCAGACTTATTCAGGTGTTATCTGAGGAATACTTGCTATATAATAGACACAGGACATAATGTATAAGACACTTCTCCCCATGTGGCATTTATGATCTGATAGAAACAGCTGACAGACACACAAAGGCCCATATTAGCATTTTGTACATTTTAAATATAAATTATTTATTTATCACTTACACCTCACTAAATCTGTAGGAGACAAAAGTGGTTCTCTGAATACCATGCCCGAATCCTCTTCTTTTCAGAATTAGATTGACATGGTTTGGTGTATCACCTCTGCCACCTGCTGACTGCTTTGCTTTGTAACACACATTTCACCTTCTTTTTTTTTTTTTTTATTTTAAAGATAAAAGGAGGGAAACATTAACAGACATACAACATTTTACAACATATCACAAGCACAATACATACAATACAGAGTTATAAACAAAGTGGTAGGGAATTAACAATGGTGGTTGTATTACATATTGATATCTTCAAAGTGGCTTCTCATGAAAACAGATATAGACATGCAATACTGGTCAACCAAAGACTCATTGACAGTTTCTTTCAGCACAGAAATAGAAGACAGAAGAACAACCATGTTATCTATCCTGTATATACATGCATACAAAATTTCTCCTTCTTTCCCTTCTCTTTTCCCACATTTCACCTTCATAGGCCTCAACTTTTGATCTTTTATTATGCAGCATTATTTTAAGGCTATGCTTTTAACATAGTGCCTAGCAGAGAGAAAGCCTTCAATAAATATATTTTATTGTAGTCTTTAGGTTCTGTGTTATAGTCACTTTATTAGAAATTATTATTTAATCACTCTCACATTTTTTTTTCTTTTCTCTGTGGGACCATGAAGGCTCTCTGAATTTTGGAGCTTTTAATACTGAGCTACCATGAAGAAAGTAGTAGATCTTTAAAATCACTATTTCAGAAACTTCAGAAATAATTTTGGGGTTATTTTGCTTGAGTCCCAAAATTGTTGTCTTTAAATTTCAGAGTGCATAGTAATAGTGTAGGTGTTTTTCAAGCCGGCATAGTCCCACCTGGCACCCAGACCTAGTTTTTTTTTTTTGTACTGCTCTACAATAAAAGAAACCAGAGTTTTTTGGGGGGTAATGGCTGATTGTGGGGTGGGGGCGTACTGTGTTACCAGCAAGTAAGGAAGTTGTAAAACAATAGCAAGGAATATAAGCATGTCGAAGGGGCTCAGGCACCAGCCTGAAGGAGCTGTTCATGGCCAAATCTGAACAACTGAAGTGAAAAGGTAAATAATGGATTAGAATCTAAAGTATGAACACACACAAGTGCATAGTAATACAAAAAATTGAAAAAATGAGTACATAAGTGAATAGAGACGATTCAGTAGTAGAAAAAACTCAAATTATGTATATAAATAGTCTCTCCTCCAGGAAGTAGAACTTAATTCTCTGCCTTCTTTGAATGTAGCTTTCAATTTAAAGGTCTGCTTACAAAGAACAGAGTAGGGAAAGGGAGAAGCCTGACAGACACTACCTTGATTGGGTGATCAAGTTTAGCATTATAAATGATGAATCATCTACACGATATGCTTAGAAGGCGATTGAGTTCTGTGGTATTGTTCCCCTAAACCCATAACCCCAGTTATAGTCATGAGAAAGTTACAGAGAAATGGAAATTAAAAGGCATTCTACAAAATGGATAACTTTGTTAATCAGTATCCCACGTTTGTGCCAAAATGCCCAAGAAAATCAATTTAAAAGGGGAAAAATTATTTTGGCTCACTGTTTAACACAGGTATTTTAGTCTGTGTTTACTTGCCCCTGTTACTTTGGGCTTATGGCAAAGCAGAGCCTCATGGCAAAGGACCTGTGAGACAGAAGGCCCGGTCATTTCGTGGTGGCTGGGAAGCACAGAAAACAGGAAAAGGCCCGGGTCC